CTTTTATGCTCTAAGAAAGGGAGGTGAAACGCAAGGTTATTTGTTGGGTAGATCAGTCAGCCGTGGGTCAGGCCTTCCCCTCTTATGTGTCTGCGGAAATGCTTCCAAGCGCGGATTTGCTGTCCCAAGATGGATTTCCTTTCCTTCCTGGAGTGATTAACTTAAAGTGTATCCGTGTCTCGCCTTCTACATTTCACATGAAACATGCAGACATGTGCTGGTTAAGCCCAGGAGCCTCACATGAGCTTTTATGAAGTATCTCCCTCACCCAGGGCTGACCTGATCCATTTTATTTTCTGATAAAAGGAGGGCAGGAGGAGACCAAACCCTACACTGGACCCTGATTCCCTGTCATCGCCGCAACCAAGGAAGGCTCAGAGGTAGCAGAAAGTGGGTGGGTAAAGGGATGGACTGGACTGAAGGTTTTAGGCCATGGGCTAGGAGCCCTGCTGCACAGTAAAACAAGGGGGTGAGAGAATTAGAGCTCTTAACATTGCCTCCAAATGCTAACATTCCTTTAATGATCAATATTTTAAAAGAGGGGCGGCCGGTTGGCTTAGTTGGTTAGAGTGCAGTGCTCATAACACCAAGGTTGCCAGTTCGATCACCGCATGGGCCACTGAGCTGCGCCCTCCACAACTAGACTGAAATGACTACTTGACTTGGAGCTGATGGGTCCTGGAAAAACACACTGTTCCCCAATAAAAATCTTAAAAAAAATTTTTTTTAAAGAACTAGGCAGTACCTTAATATGGCTTTTGATTGTCAAACAATGTAGTGATAGGTAGTAGTTACAGTAATAATGAAATGGCACAAACATTTATAGACCACTTACTGTGTGCCAGGCATGGTTCTAAGCACTTTCAACTCACCAGTCCTTGACACAGCCTCAGAGATTGGGTTTTGTGCCATTTTTTACCAACGAGACTGGGGCACAGAGGGGTCACAGACCACAACTTGCCAACTCACATGGCTGATAAGTGATGGAGCTGGGATGCTAACCTGGCAGTGCTGACTCCAGAGTCCAGGTTCTTAACTACTAGGCTAGTCTTACCTTTTCATGCATTTGAACCACCGCTGTGGACCTTTATCACACAAAGAGCAACATCTTGAAACAAAGGAGTGACATGCCACAGCCCTGAACTCCCCACTAAAGGCTCCCGTGTGTGACTTGCTCTCGGCCCACTGGTGGAGAGTGGAGCAGTGAATAGGAGGCAGAAGATCAGGCTCTCGCCATTTTTGCTCACCTACCCTATGACCTCCTGTAGGCCTCAGCAATCCTACCAGCCTGAGGACTCCTAGGTTGTCATTAGGTTCAAATAAACCTAAGCTTCAATGGAGGGAGCACGGAGCTGTTTCAAAGCACCTCGTTTGAGCCCAGCTCACTGGACCGATAAGACGAAGACCAGAGCGATTACACACCTTCCTAAGCTGGCACAGTAAATAGCACACAATATACATAAAAAGACATTGACAACTCACCTGTAATAATTATTATTACATGGTCCTACCACATATAGCTGATCTAACCTTCCACGGCCCAGGAGGAATCTAATTTCACATCCACACTATAAAAAGCCCATGGTTATCCCTGAGGCTGAAATCTTACAGAATTACCACTTTTACAAGTAAAAGACAGCTGAATATTGCCAATTTCATGTGGTTCAACCTAAATATGTACTTTTAAAAATCAAGCCTCTTTCTCCTGACTGTCATGGGGAAGAGCTGGGCGCAATGCACCAGTGCCAGTGTCAGGGAAGTCTGCCTAAGCCCAGGCAGTAAAGCTGGTTTTCTGGAATGTCAGGACTGTAAAGGCAGCTGCCAATGAAGAACAATGGTTTCATGGCCTGGGAGCCACCACAATCTTGAGGTTAAAGATTAATTGGAAGAGCTTCAGGGAGTTTATTATGGATACGCACACCACTGACACACACACACATACACACACACACAAAATCAATTAATCCCTCAGATTAAAAAAGAACAATTTTGGGCCGGCCGAGTGGCTCAGCTGGTCAAGAACTCGCTCAAAGGTTTGAGCTCTGAGCAGTTCAATTCCTGGCCCGAGCTGAGCAGCCACTGAGCTGCCAACAGGTGGCAGGATGGCTCAGCTTTAAAAAAAAGAACAATTTTGCTGGTGAATCAAGGTGATTCTTGGCAAGAGCCTGCTTTCCTTAATCTCTGCAGCTAAGTTAGCCGGTGGAGACGGCAAGTGTCTGGGCTGATGCTGTATACTTGTATTAAGTCAGTTTTTAAAAAAATTCCCAATGATGCTAAGTGACTATGAACTATTCATACTCTAAAAATGTCTATTTAATGAAGCCTCATTTAATTATAAACATAGAGATAACAAATAAAGTTCCAAAATACATACTATATATTTTATTATTGCTAAATCATTACACAAATGTAAGACAGTAGTTTGTTTGTTTTATCATCACCATCATCAGGCCTGGCTAAAATGACAGGAGCACTGGAAGTACTGTTCAGATTCCTTAAGCTCATTTCAGAATTTCAATTCCTAGGGTCAGTGATTAACGTTATTTTTCAAAAAGAAAACAGAGTCAATGAAGAAGTAAATGGGATTAAGAATTTCTTCTATGGAAGACTACAATTTAAAATTACACTAGATCTTAAACTGAAAACAATGTCTGTAGCTATTTGGATTTGAAAAGAAAGGCTAATGTTTTTAGAAAAGTAGACTGAGGGAAAAACATTAACATCCAGTTCAAAAGCAGGCTGCAGGGGGAAATGCCAGAAGCCAATTCCTGACATTTCTCAAACTGATCAAAATACCTGGCATCTCCCAGAACGAGTAACCTCAGGGTGCTGCTGGTATGTCCATCTCCTCCTCCAGGAGGCAGAACTGCCTCCTGATAACAGACTTTAGAACCTCAATAGCCACTTTCACAGGAAGCAAGTCTAAGCCAATTCTGCCTGTGGAATTCCTCTGGGAAGTAAAGCAGCATGGTGGAGCTGCAGAATGTCACATTAAAGTCGTCTCCATAGAACTCTTTTTGTTTTAGACTCAACTCCTTCTTTTATTGTTCAAGTATGGAATTTCTATAATTTGAAGCTGCAGTGTCGGGAATCTTTCTTCATTTCTCAGAAGTGCACTACAGACTCCTTGTTACTTTCTTAGAAACTAGCCTTCTTGGAAATTGAGACTCAGGCTCCACTGGTTTGCTTAATGCTTCGAGGCTGGTGTTACTCTCCAGGCGTCACCTTGTACCACCTTGCAAAGTACTACACTTTTTTAAAGATGCCGCTAGGGGCAGATGCCCAAGACAATGCCCTGTATGAGGGGGCCAGGGCAATGGAACCTATCCCAGGGGGTGGCTGGTGGCTGCTGGATAAGGAGAGGGGAGTTCTCCATAGCAGATACCAATTCTCTTTCCTACTAAGTGTTGTATTTTGACCTCTTTCCCAGAAAGTATGCTATGTGAATAGAAGTTTGCCTGCCTTGAAAGCGAGCCTGCTGATGTTCCCACAGGGATGCTAAAATTACATGCACACATTGGAGTACCCTGCCCTAATTGACTCTCTTTCTTACACTGACGCTGGGTGAAACAGCAACACCGTCTATAGATACAACTTAATCATGCTGTTTACTCTTAAGTATGTTACTAACTTACATGAGGTACATCCCTTACATGTGAGTCTCACAGATGCACAGCCATCAGGATGCCCAGGAGAGGAACTCCTCTTTGCTGGTGCCTTCGTGAGGTGCAGGGAGGCTGACAGAAGGGAAGAGGAAGCCTGAAACTAGTCCTGTCTCTGCCTCTTCTTGGGCAAGTCATTTTACTTCTTTGCTCTCAGTTTTCTCATCTGTAAAATGGCTACAGCATCATCTGTCTCATTAATCCTGAAAAGACAGTGTCTATGAAATGATTAATCTATAATTTGGGACATAATCATCATCTTCATTATCATAAAAGTTAGATAGAGGGCAACAGGCAATGATTCTTAGTCCAAACATTACACCATTGGGCAGCTCAGTGTAGTCACTAGTATGGGCCAGAGGCCACTTAGCTGAGTGACCCTGTGGCAGTTAAATTAACCTCTCTGTGCATCAATTCCTCCTCTCCATGTTGGAGATAATAATAGCACCTATGTTGCAGGGTTTTTGTGAGGATTTAGAGCTAATACAAAGTTTAGAACAGTTATCTGACACTAACGCCATATGATTATTTGCGATTCTTTTTCTATGTATTCTGAATTCAATTAACACTTGATTATATAACGCATGGATTATTTTCAGCAAGCTTTAAATTCTGAAATAATGAACCTGGCCATACAAAATCCTTCCTGAACGTGTTTCCATACTCATCTGTTGTATGTTTGGGATTTGAAAAAAAAAAAAATTTTGTTAGGAAGGTAAATCATCTGCCAAAATAAAACAAGCCAATAGTTACTCTTTCTGGTTTTTCCCTTGTGAATATGGACTTCATAAATGGGAACTTGATGGGCCAGCCGAGTGGCTCAGTGGGTTAAGAGTTCGCTCAAGAGTTTGAGCTCTGAGCAACAGCGGTTCGAGTCCCGGCCTAAGCTGAGCAGCTGCTGAGCTGCCAACAGATGGCAGGATGCCTCAGCTTAAAACAAAACAAAAAAACCCCGACAAATGGGAAATTAAAAAAAGTAGCAGCTTATTTCTTTTTTAAGCCTTTGTCAGGCAAAAAGACAGTAAGACTAAGGGCAGTGATAATGAAACCACAGGATTCCAGGCAGCCTTGAAAGGAGAAGGATGCTGTGCCCTGCACTTTCCAGGGCCTCTGGAGCCTTCTAGGGCCAGTCTTGGGACAGGAAGCCTGGCCCTTGCCTGCCCCATGACCATGGCTTCCTGGGAGGCCCTGATGGGGGAGCTTCTTGTCCCACTTCTCCTGAAGTGTGGTCCACTCCGCTGAGAGACCCTCTGGTGTTCTCCCACCTGGGCTCAATCCCTCCTTCTCTCACCAGGAGATGCTCTGGTGCCAACCAACGCTGCTCGGGAGTTCAGGAGTCAACTCCTCCTAGAGGAGAGAATCCCGCAGGCGGAAAAAAAAATCACCCGGACAGTATCGCAAAAAGATGGAATTTCTCTGTGGCTCCATCTACATCATCAGCACCTCTATTTATCCTACTGCCAAGTTCCCTTGAGGTCACTTGGATGCTTGCTTTCATCTGTGACAGGAGCACAAAAAAGCCTTTAAAGGAGAGTATGATCCTTAGAGAGTTCAGTTTTTCACAGAAGGCACTTGTGGGGGTGGCCTGGACCGCTGCTGGCGGAGCCACAGCTGGCGGAGCCACAGCACAGCACCCGGGCACCTCATTCATTCCACAGTCCTTGTGGATGGCACCCCCTGGAGTTGTACAATGAAGCGCCTCAGCTCTGGGAAGATAGCCGTCAGCTGGGAGGAGGACACGTTTCTATTTTCTAAAAAACATCTAAAAAGGAGAAGTACAGTTCAAGTCTCTTGTCTGTCAGCTCTAGTCTCACCTCTCCCTCAAGGGGTTTGGATGACTCCTCCCTGGCCCGGCACCTCCCACATCCCACTCTCCTAAACCAACCAGTCTAATGCAGCAGACTCATAAATGAGGGGATGGAGGGGCGAGGGAAATGATAGGAAAGAAGAGAAAAGTTAAAAAGGAAAAAAAAAGGCCAGGAGTGGCAAAGAGGAGGAGGGCGCGGGAGGTAAGAGCAGACAGTGCCTGAAAGTGCTGAGTTGCATCCAGGAGAGCCTGTTGGCTTGTTCTCTGCCTCTGCACCCCTGTTTCATTGGGAACTTGGTGAAGGCTATAGGGTAGTACAAATAAAACATGCCTCCACTGAAGAAAGGCCTCAGCTATCCTACAACTTCACATCTACAAAATAATGACCATGCAACAAAATTAACTTTTTGTGTTGTTTTGGTTCTATTTCCCGTGCCCTGCTCTAATGACTAAGGAAGCACCACAAAGCACGGGAGTAAGAAGCAAAAGGGGGCAGCCAGAGAGGTGAGGTGACTGATCCTGGAATAAACTAACTAAATCTGGGTGTCTGGTGAATCTCAGGGGTCCTTTGGGCTAAGCGCTCTGTGTAGGAGGCCCCAGCACACTATGCCTGAGAGGTGGACATCCAGCCATCACTTAACATTGCCAGTGACGGGGAGCTTACTACCTCATAAGGCAATTTGATTCATTTCTGTGCAGCTCAAATTATTAGAAATTTGTTCCTTATATTGTGTGGCCTTACAATCTCCAGTCCTGGGCCTGAACTCTGCTCTCTGGAGCTACCCAGAATAGGTGTGGATGATCATTTCCTATGAAAATCTTTCAAATATTTGAATACAATCAGTATATTTTCTATAACTTCTCTCTTCTAGCATAGACACGCTTTGTTCTGTTTGTCAACCTTTACATGTAACTGGCAAGAATTCAAAAAAAAGTTTTGCATAACCTGACCAAAGGTGGTAGTTTTCTGGTCCTTACCGATTCAGGAAAGCATTTCCAAAGCGACTAAGCTTTCGAAATGGCTTTTTGGGGTCCACGACTAAAGCGTTCCCTGGGGTGCTGCCCTCAGTCTCCCCATACATCACAGCGATGAAGGAATCAGTGGTGGGCTCTGGACCAATCCTCATGCCGGGGAAATCTTGCTCCAGTAAGTACCTGGGAGAAGAGAAAAAGAAGAAACTTAGCACGTTGTTGCAAATCAAGAGGCCAGAAACTTTCCTGGGTCTACCAATGTGTAACATACTAATTTAAAAACCTAGAAATATAACCCCCAAGAAAAGGAGAACGATTGGCATTTTACTCTTTTGCTAATAATTATTTTTCATAGTTTAAAATCTACAGACCTATTTTTTCCCCCCAGTATAAGAAGCCTAGTGATGGGGTCAGACATCTTGCAGACTGACCAGGCGTTTTGAAAGTGTACTGGCACATCAATTCTTGTTTGAAGTTCCATTGGCACAACAGACACCATCCCAGAGAAGCGTACCCAGCCAGCTTGTATGACTGGAAGACCCTCCTCAGACGCCACCTCCTTTAGGGAAGCGTCCCTGTCCCTCCAGCATGTTCGGGACACCTTCTCTGTGGGCCCCGGGCACCCTGTGCCTCTGGCTCTCATGGTGCTCAGCATGGGTACTGTACTTCTTTGCTTCTGGGTCCTTGCAGGCAGGCCCCTGGCTATGGCCAGATGCATATCCCTGGCACCCAGCACTGTGCCTGCCTACAGAGGGCTCTCAAAGTGGTGAATGAAATAATGAAACAGCTCCTTCCTCGTCACAGGCAGTCTACGAGGCTGGAACATCCCCCCTCTGTGCAGTTTACAGCTTCCTTAGGCTCCTGGAAGTTGTGGCCATGGAAGACAACTTCCAATTAATTCAGTAGCAACACAGGCTGCTATGGGGGACAGGGGTAACGGAGGGGAGCTCTGATTAGATATCACCAGGGCCACTGCTGGCCCTTTGGGCAAACTGGAAAAGGATGCCCCTTCCTCTAGGCAGACACAGCCATGCTCTAGACTTCACAGCTTAGCAAGCAGGACTCTACTGGATTTTACCCTCTACGTGCCCCCTTTGCCCAGATGCCCTTATGTAGTTTAACCTGAACAACTGTATACAGTGGCACTAGCAAATGTCATTGAGCGTTCTCATTCAGTGGGTTGAGGAGACCAATACATGTGACGTTGGGCATAGGACTGGCTCAATGACATATTTGGGTGGGGCAAGTCTACTTTCTGTGGGAACTGGGTGAGTTTTAACATAGCTCTCCCCACCCCCCTCAGCAATTCATTCAGCTGAAGCAACTCAGAGCCCCTCCCTGCCTCCCCACTAAGGTTTCCGTTCCCTGATGGAGGAACACTTACATGTGTTTGTGTTTATACACTTGTGGGGGGGGGGGCAAAGACTACTCCCTCCTTCCTCTGCAACCCAGGGAAACATGAGGGAGGGACTACAGTTAACCCTGGAACCATGCATTCGAAAATCCGTGTATAACTTCTGACTCCTCCAAAACATAACTAATAGCCTACTGTTGGCCGGAGACTTACCATTAACATAAACAGTCAACACATATTTTGTATGTTATATGTATACTATACTGTATTCTTACAATAAAGTAAGCTAGGGAAAAGAAAATGTTATTAAGAAAATCATGAAGAAGATAAAATACATTTACAGCACTGGGGAATTATGTCTCTGATCTCTACTATCTAGTCTACCCACTCTTTAATCCATTTTACAAAAAAATGTCACGTCCTTCGGGGCAGTCCTCCCTAATCACTCCACAATGGGGTTTTTTTTGGACACTCCCCACTTCCCCTTCTCTTGAGAGCGCCTCAAGGAACATCTAGTATTGGTGTTACTGGTGGGCCCATAGCCTCTCTTCTGATAGGTTGTCATTTCCTGCAGGGCACAGTCCACACACTCAGAATTTGTGTCCCAAAAAGTCTCTTAGGAATCCTTTGGCTCAACCCCATGTCTGTACAGGGGAAGAGACTGAGGGTGAGGGTAGGAACGTGACGTGCTGCTGGTAAAACTTGTTAGTGGCCCTGCAGAACCGGAGCCTGGGGCCCCTCCCTCCTGGCCCAAGGCTTTTGCTCTCTTACGCTTGGCTCAGCCCCACAGCCTTGGGGTCCCACACACCACTAGCTTCTGGGCCCTTAAGTAGGACCTGTCAGATACATGAGTTAATATATGACATGCTACACTGATTGTCCAGAAGAGTTTTTACATTGGGGGATGGTGAAGTTCAGATACATTTATGTCACACTGCCGGGCAGGCAGGCACGTGCCAACCGCAGGGAGAGAACTAAGAACAACCAGGACACAGAGGATCTGACATGAACCAAGTGAGAATGAAGTGATGAGGTTCAAAGCCGCAACCTTGAAAGGAAGGGTCTGAGTGGGTCCTGAGATGCGATCTACAAAAATGGGTAATTCACACAGCCCCACACATGAGGCTGATCAATTGTGTTAAACTTTTTTTTTTTTTGACGCCTCAAAGGCTTGAAGCCACGAGTTTCAGGGGCTTTGTGGTGTTATCTGTGATAACAAGAATTCAAAGGAACTTCAAGAGGCCTCAGGAAGTCTACAGAAAAGAACCCGCCGTGGTTCAGAGCCGCTGGCGCGATGCACAGGCATCCTGTGCATTCGGCTGAGTTTCTGTCCCTGGCTCCACCTTGCTCTCCTTTTCCTGTGTTCTCAGAGAGGCTGCCAATTTCAGGGGTGATTACTCCCAGTCTTGAGCCAAGTCATCAATGTAAGAAGGGACAAACATTTGGATTCCAAACAGCTGGGCGGAGAAGGTGGTGGGGAGGACAGGAGACCCGACATCTCCTTGTTCCCGTCCAGTGAGGGCCACAGTTCAGCCTTGTCCAAATGGCTCCTCGGTATACTGGCTGCCATGCTCAGCCTGGGCTCAAGGAGCTATTTCAGGCAAGGGTATATGTGGACAGTGTCTTTTTTCTTCCATGGCTCGAAAATTATTTTTTAACTTCACAGAAAAAAAATGTCATTGTGACAAGAAGAAAAAAATCTTCAAGATGATGAAAAGTCCCTCAACATACCTAAGCACCATCTTCTCAAAGGTGGGCTTGAGAATGATTAAAATACAAATGAACAAACAAACTATAAGAGGCACATTATTCCAAAATTCCAGCTGCGAATTTTCTCTCCCCTGGGTATTCATCCATGCACCTTTAAACTTGTTCCATCCTAAGTACCTTATGGGGTAAGTACTATTTTTATTGCCATTTTACAGATGAGTAAACTAAGGCTCAAAAAGATTAAGTGGTTTGTTAAGAACCTAGGATTTCTTACTAGTCCTGTGAGAATACTACCTGCCCTAAATCGGAGCTTGAGGGGCTGAGTCATCCTCCAACAGGAGCGTTTACAGGAACGTATTCTATGAATCACAACAAATATAGAAATCTAAACCTTGTTATATAGAATCTAAAGCTTGTTAACAGTATTCAATAATTAAGCAAGCACTCTAAAAAGTAATATGGCACATATACTTGGGGTGTATTGTGAGCATTAATTTAAAATTCTCAAGCCAAAATCTAAAGAAATAGCTTGTGTAACGATCAATAAGATTTAAAAAAATGTTTGTACGTACGTTGGTATCTGTGCAGGGAGTTTGAGGGTTCAATTCATTGATATGGCCTAGGACATTTTGTTAAAGAGCATTAAACTAACCCCAACAATCATTTTATTCCTTTGGGTAGTACTACGGTTTTCAACCATACAGATGTGAAAGAAATATATAAAGTACAACTTTTGACTTCAGTGGAGAAGCAGTTTTAGTTCCTTATTTTTATATACAGGGCTATGAGTTTAAATAATTTCAATTTATAATAAGCGTTGGAGAGTTTTACATTATGTACTTACTGATAATACTTGATCCACTATTTCACTAGTAGAGGGACTAAAAAGAAAGGGCTAGTCTTTCAATTCTGATTTGGCTTGAATCTGGAAATAATGTTTGTAAAGTAGTTTCCTTTGTTTATCCTCATGCTTAATACCAAGAAATGGAAGTAGGAGGAGAACATTTTTTTTCTTATCACAAAAGTCTTATAAAATGTTCCCAAATATATGTAAGTTAGTACTACTACCACCTCTACTTCTAGACACCACCAAACAACAATTATGAAACCATGCTGTACAGTTTATAAAGCTTTTCACATATTTTATCACTTCACTCTTACTGTCATTGGAGCAGGTATTCTTATCCCTCCCTGTCTTATAGGAAACTGTGCTTATGACAAGCTAGGTAGCTAGCATGAAACCACATTAATACAGGATAATGACCACTTTTAACATTTTGAAATAGTTCCATCCAGTCATTTTTCTGCAAATACAATTTTTTTAATAAAATTGGGATGTGTTTAAACAATTCTGTATCTAGATTTTTCATCATTAGTTTTTCTCATGCCATTAAAAATTCTTTGAAAACACAATTTTTAATGGCTGCATACTCTTCTAAGGTGAATATATATCAATTTAGTTTACCATTTCCTAATTATTGAGCATTTAAATAGCTTCCCATGTCTTACCATTATAATTAATGCTGAGATAAATACCCCTGAACAAATGTCTCATCTACTGTAAAATTTTAATCTTCTCTGAGTTATTGAAAAACAAAGTCAGGCCGAGCTTCACTTCCATTTTAAAATTATATGTCTTAAGGGTGAAACTTTTATTTTCAATTTTGTTTTTCCCTTAAATTATTGACATACATAGTATCACCAGGAGTGCTTATTCAGATAATATATTTGAAACTGCTGATATACTAAGGGACTAGACATACTAAGTAACTTGTTGGACCAAGAAACTGGAATTTGCTGGGTAAACCCTTTTCATATCTCTAGTTTGCCAGCTATGAATGGAATTTAAACTACACAGAGCCAAGACGAGCTTAAAGCACACTGCTATCTAACCTACGCCATTCCCTGTAGCTGCGCCATCCCACCTTTCATGCTGGTCTGGGAGGAAGGTGGAAGAATGGGAGAGGAAGAAGAAAGGGAAAGAGGAAGTTTCCTGGAATCAAAAGCAACATGCTTTCCAATTTCTTACAGCCCTGTTTATTTTTCTAGTCATTCACTCATTTGCTCATGCAATAAAGATCTATTAAATGTTTCCTATGTTATGACTTGTAATTTATGA